AAATCGTGTCGACGGAGCCAAATTTTGATTTTCACATTTAGGATTAGTTTGTAGGTTTTTTTTGCTTTAGAAGCATACTCACCCTCTTTATAGGCTAATCAGAAAGTGCTGCCTTTTTCAGATGTATATTTTTCGTGAAATTTCCAGATTCATTTTTACACGTTTGCGTATCAAAATTTCAACATGAAATTTCACAAAAATTAGACATCTGAAAAAGGCAGCACTTTCTGATTAGCCTATAAAGAGGGTGAGTATGCTTCTAAAGCAAAAAAAACCTACAAACTAAGCCTAAATGTGAAAATCAAAATTTGGCTCCGTCGACACGATTTTTGTACATGTGGATGTGTGGCCTATGTTTACGGAGGCAGTCCAGTAAATAGGCCACATTTATGGGGCTAGGTCTGGCTTGGCACTGGCGATGATGACGGGCAAATCGTCAGGGAACTAATTGGACTAAAACTAGAACATGTAGAACGCGGCAACTCGTATCCCCTCCTTATGTTATTTTTTTAGACGTTAGACCTTTTTAAATGAATATGTATAATTATGGCCTACATATTTGACCAGCTCATACAGGGTGAGTAAAAAAACACCGAAACCCCGAGGTTGGGACCCGGGCGTCGCGAAGGGGGGGGGGGGGGGGGGGGGGGCGGGCAATTGCCCCCCCCCCCCTCCCCCGCCCGGAAAGCAAAAAAAAAAAAAAAAAAAAAAAAAGGAAGAACAAAAAGAGAAAAAAAGAAAAGAAAAAGAGGCGCGAAGTCAGTGGTGTAAACTTAATTGGGGGGGGGGGGGGGCAAAATGTCCCTGCCCCCTCTAAAACCGATAAATCGAGAATATGTTGAAAATACAGGATTTTTTTGGGAAAAATATTTTGGGAAAAATATGTTTTGCCCCCTCTAGAAAAAAATCCTGGGCGACGCCCATGGTTGGTTTTATTGAAGTTCTGCACTTTCAAAATCTAGGATATGAAAGCCCAATTCATAAGCTTTCTTTTAGTACAAGAATCATTCAAATCACTCATGTACTTTTCAAGTTACAGAATTTTAAACACAACCACTCAGGTCTCGGTTTTTTGTGTGTGATCACCCTGAATAGCTGCATGCAGATCACGAACACTATTCTTGCGAAAATTGCCCTCGGGTGATACACAATCAATGACCAATCATATACATGTACTAATAAACAGAGGCGTATAGCTGGGGGGGGGGGGGGACTCCACGGTGTAAGCTATGATTGTTCTTTTTCACGTTTTCTGAGTTTTTTCGCGAATGCCTGTATATCTTAGCCACACTGAGAATTTCTACGCAAGTGCCCCTACAACTTCTTTTGAAAAAGGAGACCATATTTGGCTTTAAAAACTTTGGAATTGTGTATATGAAGGATCAACTCCCTGGTTTTTGTGCTTCCATCCGAGGGCAGGCTTGATAGAATTACGGTTGAAAATGGGTCCTATTTGCCTAAGAAAGTGGAGGGATGCCACTTAAAATGGCTACATGCACTCTGATGCTTTGCCGGGAACTATCACTTAATTTTCGGGAGGTGATTTTGTTTTGGTGTGAATATTTAAAAATGTAATTAGCTATAGTCTACCCAAATTTGAAAAAAATGGAAAAATGAAGGACAAGACTATAATTGAATTTTTGTTTGAGAAACACCAGTGATGTCGGCTTGCATATTATTTTGCCCTGAACTTAGTTGATTTTCAACGAATTGAATTGGTGCGCTGCACGTCCCGCGGAAATGGAATAGCGCCATCTATTGTCAAACATCTATTGTTTCCCATGAAAGAACATTGCGTGCCCGGCTTGGTCACCAGCATAGATATAGAATAAAAAATATCTATGGTTTATGGCAACATGCTATGATTTTTTTTTTTAAAGAAAACTAATGGTAGCCAAAGTATAAAAGGAGGGCGCAATTTAGAGTGGGCCCGCCTGACCATAATGTTACCTACTCCAAAATGAGCTCCGTTTTGTGTCTGCCATATCTCAAAAGGCAAATTGCGTCTCAAAAATAGACATAATAGTAACACTCACAATGTGCTTTAATTTCTGAAACTTTTTCCCTTTATTAAACTCAATCATAGACATTGATTTCAATCGTGCAGCTCGTCCTTTAGAAGTGCAAAATAAATTATTAATCACAATCTGAAACATGATTTTCAATCATTTCGAAAATGTAAACAACCAGTTCCGCGACTTGATACATGTCAATTAACGATCCATGATTGATCCTTAGGCCTAAGCATTGTCCTTAAAAAGGAAGTTTTTCAAGTAAGGCGATTTCCACCAAGCTGGAACGGTTTATAGATTATTGTGGTTGCAGGTGTCTCAGAGGCTACTATTTGTTATAATAATCTAGCAACGATGAATAATTCACAAAAGGTTTACTCATGCTGATCCTAGCAATGCAAAGTCATTGCCCTCTGGCTCTGCCTTGTGGCATAATGTCTACATCAAACTTTTCCCTTTTTTGGAAGCAAGTGTACAACTGTCTTGGTAAATACAACATTAAAGTTCTGTGAGCATAAGCGCAGCGTTCGACTTTTTTTTTCCGTAGGTGGGTTACTCAAAAGAATATCATGCATAATTCAGTTTTGCTTTGATGAATCGTCGCAAGACACTTAGGTTCTCGTTCTCTTCCCCCACCCTCAAAATATAATTATCTCTACGACAAATTCTGAGAAGAAAAATAGTCAATGAAAATGAGCAGCGACGACATGGATTCGAACCAGGGATCTTTTTATCTATAGCTCATCTCGGAGCTATCCACCAGACGTCTGGTGGATAGCGCCGAGATGAGCCATAAGATCGGTATAGTCTGCAGACTATACTGTGTGGGGTAGCTTGATGACAACCGGTCTTTAAAAAGCTTTAATTGTAACTGGTTGACGAAATAACAACAACGCTCTTAATATCATTGTTCTGTTTCATGAATAAGCATACTAGCCCGATCGATATTAAATTATGAAGTTTGGAGCAAAACCCAACTACGGAAAAGAAATTCGCATGCGGCGTCATCGTCCTGAGTCACAGCAGTTTACTATTGGACCTATCCAGTGAGAGGTTGCTCAGAGACATTAGCTGCAACCTGTCAGAGCCCTTGGAGTGGCAGAGGGCACTTGCGAAGGAGGGATCAACCTCATAACAGTGCGCCACAAAAAAAAAAAAAAACGCATCGCAGAGTGAAAGGCACGTATTTTTGCATAGTGCGTGGTCACTGAAGGCCGTTTAATACATACAAAAGGCTGTGTTAATGAGCATCTTGGAGGAACAAAGACCAGGGGCCAATTTCATAGATCTGCTTAAGCACAAAATTTGCTTAAGCACACAAACATATTGCTTAATAAAATCAGGTTACCGGCCAAAACTCCATGCGATTGTTGTGCTAAGTAAACAACAGCTAAATACCGGTCACAAGCAATGTACATCACGTGGAGTTTTGGCCGGTAACCTAATTTTACTAAGCAATGTTTTTTTCGTGCTTAAGCAAATTTTCTGCTTCAGCAGCTCTATGAAATTGGGCCCAGCTGCCCTCTGGTGTGACGTCAGATGCTTATCTAATCTAATCTTGTACCATGTCCCGAAGGACGTTGGCTCCACAAATTTTCGCTCTCCACTCTCGTCTATCTTGCGCTCTACAGTGCAAAGGATATTAAACTAGCCAAAAACTGATTTTTTTTTAAAATGTGTCGGATCTAGCTTCTTTCGAAGAAATTGTGAAAGATCACTGCCGATCAAACTATTTGACATCATGTATATGATCTAAAATGTATCATCTTCTGTGTGAAACTACATGTTCAATAATCCATACCTGATATTGAAAATAAACATGGTGAAAATGGGGAGAGTGAATCGTTTGACTTCTTCATAAAAAAAAAATTGAGATTGTGACCGTTAACACGTAGGCACAGATGGTCAAATAAGCAAACGAAATGCTCGTGCAGTCAACAGGAGAGGATTCCATGTTCAGCCCAATAGCCTTTGATGGTGTGCTTGGCGGACACGACAGGAGGGCACTATGTATTTATAAAGCGCACGTATCAAAATATTGGTGCTCAAGGCGCTACATATCATTATTACCCTGCTCATTGGGCCAATGTAACATTCAAAATACCATCTCCCTGGGATTCTACAGCTGGAAGCTGCCATTTCGGCGCAAAGCAGCTAAAATCAACCACTCTCCGCCCTACCATGTCCTAGGTTGGATTTAGGTGTAGTCCGCGTGTCAAACCCAAATTTGGAGGTGGACCGTGAATTAGGTTCTGCACAAAACGGTTTTGGGTAATTCCATTGTTACTCACGTTACATTTTTGATGTACTTTTGAGTTTCCTTGGTCTATAATTACCTCACTAAAAATGTTTAAAGAGGTTGTGGAATGCTCGAAGACATTTCCGTCATTTTTCGGGTATATGTAGCCTAAGGTGTGATGAAATAAAAACGACAATTGTTTCTGTCATGAAATGAGTACAAAAGGTACTTTTGAGAGCTGTTTTTTCAGGTCCAGTTTCGACCCGAACGTGCAACTGTGTAAAAGTCGTCGTTGCGGGCAGCAAACAAAACACAGTCAATCGTGACGTAATAAACAGGACTCGTGTATGCTGCTGTGCATTGGGAGTCCTGTTTATTACGTCACGATTTACTGTGTTTTGTTTGCTGCCCGCAACGACGACTTTTACACAGTTGCACGTTCGGGTCGAAACTGGACCTGAAAAACAGCTCTCAAAAGTACCTTTTGTACTCATTTCATGACAGAAACAATAGTCGTTTTTATTTCATCACACCTTATGCTACATATACCCGAAAAATGACGGAAAAGTCTTCGAGCATTCCACAACCTCTTTAATAACTGTTATCCCCTGGTAGATAGCGTAGACCTAGACCTACCTAAGCACCAAAGATGACATCCAGAAAAATGTGTTATGTATGATAAACAAGACGCATAGAATCGGTTACTCACGTTACGAACATGTAACGTGAGTAACCGATTTTGTGCATCTTGTTTATACATAACACAATTTTTCTGGACGTCATCTTTAGTGCTTAGGTAGGTCTAGGTCTACGCTATCTATCATGGGGATTACAGTTATTAAACCTTTTTAGTAAGGTAATTACAGCCCAAGGAAACTCAAAAGTACATCAAAAATGTAACGTGAGTAACCGTGGAATTCCCCTTTTGCATTTTCTTGTCATTTGGACCTTTCAGATCAATATTCCGACGGGTGCCACCTTGTCACCCTTAAGCATTTTTTTACCCTTCTACTGCGTCCACTTTCTAAAAAAAAAGGGTAATGATGTTTTGCGTGTGGCATTTTTTAGGGATCCAGTAGACTACATCACATGTTTTTCAAGGCCATGCATTCAACCCAGAAATGAGTGCGGACTGTTAACATCATTGTGTAAAGATGAAACCATGCCAATGTGGTTGAACAAATTCGGCATGACAAGATACTGCCTCACCCCGACACTGTGTAAACACCGACTGATTTCAATATCGAGGGGGCGCTTATTACTGCATGTGATGCCCCCGAGATGCTCCCGGATGCGAGGTAGCGATTGAGTCCTGTACAGGACAGCGGGTATGCAACACTCGGGAGCGCCGCGCATCGAGTACAAATCGACCGAAAGCCGACGTAGCATCAATAAGTACGGCCGTCCAATAACGAACATTAAAGCACCACAAAAAATGCACAAGAGGGTAAAAATACAGAAAGTTTGAATCCAGTTGAGATCCGAGCCAACGAGGAGTCTTAAAAGTCCGTGTAAAATTCCGCCTCCAAAAATGGCGGCCGATAATAATTCAGTGATGAGGAAGGCTTCGTTTCCGTACCCCTGCCACTTTTCAGGGAAGTAAAATTTCACCGCCGCCCAAGTTTCCGGGTTCGGCACCAGCCTACCACGTATCATCTTATTTTCGACGCGGGTGTCCAGGAGCCGATCCAGGGACGCTAAGAATTGTGGGTAGGGCAAGGCATCGTCCTGAACCAGTATGGTGTACTCTGCGTTGAAGGTCTCCATCTGACTCATGCAGAAGACGTAGTCGCGTTTTTCCTGTTCGCGGGCGTCATCAGACGGGTGTGGGTCGTGTCCTCTCTTGCTCACGACGTGCACGTATTTCGCGAGACGTTCTGCCTCCTTGTGGTGGCCTGGCACGCTCTCCGCGTTGCATACGAGTAACACAACGTCTCTCCGCTCAACTTCCTTCAGTAATCTGTCGAACTCGGCAACGACTCGGGTCAGATATCTGGGGTCGTACTTCTTATAGTGTGACGATTTTCGCTTGACAGTGATGACCCCGATGGCGTACTTGGGCGGGTTCTGCTGCCTCTGCACCAGAGGTTTGGTGTGGAACGCAAGCGACGATTCTGAATCGAGACGCTCAAAATAATCATCTGCCCTTTGACCTTGGGTGACGTCATTCAATATGGCTCCCTCAACGGTGCGGCTAGACTTCAGATAGAAGCGGGAGAATGGTCGGTTCCAGCAAGAGAGCGGAAGAATGACGCAGAAGGTACAGATGTACAAGAGCACTATGAGCCACAGTACGGTTCGAAACTGAAGTCTGTGGGTTCTCTTGGCTGACCCACACATGGCCATTTTAGACTGCAACTTTTGACACCAGTTTTAGTGTCATGTTCTCTACATTACAGAAACACCGAGTTGTGTTATAGACTTAATGGCGTACCCCATACAATCTATGGACGATGTAACATTTTTTTGGGGAGGCATGCAAACGACATTGGCAAAAAGCACGCTACGAGCGTACATGTAAATGTCCGTAAAATCTCAACATTTGAACAATAGCAGTGATCTGTCAATGAATACTTGGAATATTGTCATAAGTGAACGTGTTGCCTATTTTGAAAAACGTGCACGCGCCTTCGGAAGACATCAGATAGAAGGTAACTTTCAAACTGCATCCAACTAAAGGCAACCCATGGAGATGTCTTGTGTTGACACAGAGCTACTTGGCGCGTCGATGACAAAACTTATTACTGGCTGGCTGTTACCTGAAACAAGAAGAGAAAATTAATGTTGAGATGCATCTTTAATTATTGAAACCTCTTCTTTTGTACAGGTTTGTTTGGGAAATCTATATACGTATACACTGAATAATCTGCGTCCTACAGAAGATATATCTCGAGAGCCTAAATAAAAATTCTGAATGAACTTGAATTGTCTCCTGGTTCGGATTGTCGTAACTGATCAGGGGTGACCTTCCTGCTATTTAAACAGTCACGGACCATCAAAATATCAATTCACTTCAACTACCATGTCTCTTATACAGTCAGATCACGTCAAGCAATTATCCTGCTTTATGTAGGCTGGGAACTCTTAACTGTTGAAAACGGTCACTCGATTGATTTTGACTGAAAGAAAAAATAGGTACAGAATGTGTGCTTGCATGGGAGGGTTGAGCAATGGGTGCGTTTGAGTAGCTCGGGTAAAGGCAGACGGGTTAGCAACGACAGCTGGGCTAATCGAACGCTAAACCGCGGGCCATCATCATCACGTTACGCCCATAGCAACGACAACGTAGCAATGGCCGTAGCCAGTGATAAAACGCCCATTTCGGACTGGGCTTTAGTTTGAAATTAAGCGCTTTTCAGTCAAAGTTAGGATGAAATCATAGCTTCACAAGTCGCAATGAACTCAATAAATGATTATCTTTAGACTTCAAATAAAATTTATTTCTAAGCCCACTTGAGATTTCCGCCGTCCGGCCGCCATTATTTGTCCGTTTCTAGGGAATGAACAAACACATGCGTGTGCCGTATTTCCACCACTGACTCTGCTCCACGAGCACAGGCTTTGCAGTACAGCTGTTGTTATTGCGAAAGTTTGGCGACCCGTGTCAACCCGGTTGAATCAAAGGAACGCACCCATTGTCGTTTACGTCGTTGTGGTTAACACTAGCTGTATACAACTGTAGTTGTGGTGGCTGAATGGGGACGCAATAGCCTGTTGGCCTAACGCTCTTCCTTCAATCGTTGACAGGTGCAGACCAGTAACAACAAGCCCATAAGGTTGCAGGCCAGTAAATCGGTCCAAAATCGCCTACGCCAGCTAAATCATAATTTGCATGCCCTCACATCCTTCGTTATTTGAGCATATTGTGGGCCATGAACTTAAGGGTTTGTAAAAACAATATGGGTGGAAGCTGGGGTGATCATCTTTGCATGGAAAATTCTCCCAAAAGCTAAGTTCCCCCGAAAAGTGAACGGCTTATGAAAGATGATGAAGCAAGATTTAATTTCTAGCTTTAACATCTTAAATTCATATTTTTTTAAGTCGGTCTTCACGCAGGACACCACAACGCTTGCCAATCTTCAGTAGATCTTCCCTGATATTGAGCCACAACACTTGATACAACATCTGAAGGTATCCAGAAACATCTGCATGAATTAAGTCCATCAAAGGCAGCAGGTCCAGATAATATACCTAACAGAAATCTCATTGAATGCAGTTGTGAACTGGCACCATTACTGACAGCTCTCTTCAATTTTTCAGCTCGGGGCCAACTCCTGATTGGATTACTGCCAATGTTACTGCGGTGTTTGTTTATAAGAAGGGCATGAGCATAAAGAGCGACCCAAGTAATTATCGCCCCATTGCACTAACGTCCGTTCTGTGCAAAGTTTTGGAACACGTACCCTGTTTTACCTTGAACGTCACCACATAATTATACCGACTGCCAACACGGTTTTAGGAAAAATAGAGGCTGTGATACCCAAGTGCTCATCACAGAGGATGGCATTGCTAATTCAGCGGACAAAAGGTAAACAGATCGACGCTGTAGTAATTGACTTCCCAAAAGCGCTCTATCACGTACACTGTAAAAACTGCAGTGTTAAATTTACACCATTGGTATCTATATACGACCATCTGGTGTTAAATTTTACTGGTGTTGTCCTATATAGATACCGAATGGTGTTAAATTAACACTACAGTTTTTGCAGTGTATCTCATCAAAGGCTTCTTCTTAAACTAAAGCACTTCGGGATTATTGGCAACATTTACAATAGGATTTCAAACTTTCTAACAACACGCAAACAGAGAGTACTACTGGAAGGGGAAAGATCTGCCGACGTGGCGTATATACGCCAAGGCACGATTCTGGGACCACTTTTGTTCCTCCTATTATGTGCACGATATTCCATTTTACGTGTCTTCAAAAACCAGATCTTTGCAGACGATGACTTACTGTATCGGGAAATACATTCACCATTCGATGCTGCCTCGCTTCAAAGTGACCTCAAAGCTCTCTGGAGATGGGAAAGTATTAAGTGGGAAATGAAATTCGATGCAGATAAAATATGCTTCATCATGCACATGACAACCAACAAAAACACCCAGATCTATACATGTAAGTATATCAATGGAGAGTCACTCCAAACAAGATCCAACCCTTTGACATAGGACTCATCTTCAGCAGTGATTGCAGCTGGTCGTCTCACATAAGCAGAATCACAACTACATTGTACATGTAGTGCCAAGCAGACAACGGGTATCATCCGGTGGAGCTCAAATCAATCAAGAACTAACATCTCGCCTGTACCAGTCTTTGGTTTGCCCTAAGCTTGAATATGGTGTTTGCGGCTGGGCCCCGTTTACAGAAGAGGAAAAGAAACAGCCAGAGGGCATCCAGAGATTTGCTGCAAGAATGTGCTGCAACAACTATACCACAGATTCAAGCGTCACCGCCATGTTACAGGAACTAGGTTGGCCACTGAACGTATGGGCCTTAAGCTTATTCACGAGTTGGCCATTTTCGTCGAGTTCCCTGAACATATTTCCCTAAGTGTTCACTGTTTAATGGGATGGCACCAGACTGTTTATGCAGTCACAATGCGGCCTTATTTTACTCTCTTTTTTACAATCTGCTTTGAACTTTTTGGGAATTTTTAATTACAAATTTAAATTATTCATTGAAGCAGACTGGAATTAACCAGTAATTTCATTTCTCTGCGCAAGTTCCAAAAATTAAGAATTTACCTCACTTTCAATTCAATATGGCCGACTCGTGAATAATGCCCATAGAAGAAGTACATCCAAATCAATAATGTTATATAAAATCACCCATGGACTTGTTGACATCCACCACAACTTGACCCTACAGAGAAAAACACATCGCAGATCACATCAGTATTCATACCATCGTCTGCATGCAAAAATGTACAGTACCAGCTTCTTCCCATCAAACCATACCTCTCTGGAATGCTCTACCTGAATCGATCATCAACAATACCAGACCAGACCACTTCAAGACCGCCGTTGCTGACCACACTCTTCATGATGGGGATTATGAAACTTTGAAAATTGAAAAAAAAAAAATGTTTATAGAATTTATTTTTGTTTATAGCTCCGCGACACACCAACTCTAGTGGGATGCAAATCAACCGTTTTGCTAGAGAATCCAGATGTAAATGTAGATGGATGTTATGGGCGTCTCAAACACCTTACACAGTTGTGCGTATTTGTAAATAAGTTTTTTTATATAACGGGAGTCGATTTATTGGTCTGCACCCATGACATAATATATTGTAACGGACAGTCTATGCACACTTTTGTTGTCATTGCTTTCTAGCACTAGTGCTCCGGCGGAGGGGCTCCGGCGGCGCGCACCTGACCTGGTTTTGGGTCTGGCTAGCGCGCGCTCCGGAAATAGGCTCTACAAATAGGTTGGCTAAGTGGGGTTCTTTTGTTCAATTGCGCGGGAAGAACTTGGCTGGATTCCAGGGTTGGGTAAAGTTGTAACATTGTAATACATTTTGTGAAACTGTGCATGTATATCCTGGGAATTGATCAGTTGCAGTTCTGGTAGTGGTGTGGCAAGTTGCCCGCAGAGTCCGCTTGGCGAAATAAATGAGATCTTCCTTCAGAGTTAGAAATCCCGTCTGTCTGTCCCCTTTTCTTGCGTTTGGCCGGATTTGGCGGACAAGAGCCCAGTAGGATCCCGCTACAAATGGTGGCAGCGGTGGGATATTGACGGGATTTTGGACTAATGATTGGAAATGACGGAAAGCCGAGCCACAGTTGAGATCGTGGACGCCATCAACGATGTCATCATTGACGTTCGGAAGGTGGGAGACTCCTTGGAGCGGCAGATTTGTGGATCAGCCCATTCCTCGGACAGACGTAATCCACAGGCAACTGGTTCAGCGGTAGGTGTGTTGCAGAGGATCAATAAAATGATCGCCGAATTGGAAGCAATGTACAGCTCCGATGATTCTACCAGTGCGGATCAGGATGAAGACGGACGAGCAAGCCTGTTCAGCGGTCCGGGGGCAGAAGTTGATGTTAGGCTGGGTTGTCGCGTGAATCGGGAGACCACGAGTAGGGAGGTCGCTGCGAGCGATGATAGCCCTGCTGTTGACGTGGAGCCCCGTCCCGTGATACTGGCGAGCATGACGGCTGTCCATCGGATCGAGGTTCGTGGATGCACCGACTTTTCCAGTCCGGATCCAACTGCTGCGGAGAACTTTAGCTGCACATCGATAGCTCCATCGTTGCGGACATCTCCATCGATGCACACTGATCCACCGTTGTGGACGGCTCCGCTGGTGCATGCCGATCAGCCGGAGCCCGCTGAACTCATCGACCGCCGTACTGCCGGGACAGCAAATCAGACCACGGACAATCGACCACAAGACACTGACCTTCATGTTCAG